AACAAGAGTGAAACTCTGTCTCAAAAAAAAAAAAACTACAAAAAGTTATCTGGGCATGGTGGCGCGTGCCTGTAGTCACAGCTACTCAGGAGGCTGAGGCAGGAGAATTGCCTGAACCCAGGAGACGGGGGTTGCGGTGAGCCGAGATCGCGCCATTGCACTCCAGCCTGGGTAACAAGAGCGAAACTCCGCCTAAAAAAAAAAAAAATCCAACAGAAAAAGGGTCTTCTTTTATAGGGTAAAGGATGGGCAAGCAGAAATAAGCAGAATCTTTGGAAGGGAACCTGGACGAGCAAGGGAAAATGCTCAATGTAGTCCAACAGGACAGCATCCCACTGTGGTCAGCCGATTCTCAAAAGAAACTGACCAGAGAGAGAGGCATATTCCACTACTTCAGTGCCTGCCTGCTCAGATCTGGGGGTAAGCAAGAGTTGAGGGACCCGTAAGGCAAGAGAGAAGTCTAAATAAAGCTTGGTCAAAACAAAGCAGCAGGTAAGACACGAGCAACTGGAAACAGTTAGTCAGTTTTTACCAAATGAAAGCACATAGTGTCTTTGATAGCACTAGGTTGTGGGTTCAAGAGAACACACATCATTCTGGATAGTACAGAGTTCATTTATAAAACACCACTGAAACAGCCAACCACATTTTGAGACAGAAAATATGGAACTACTTCACTCCGCTTGTTGCTAGTAAAATAAAAAAACATAATAATCCATCCCAGCAGGACAAAAGGGGAAAATAAAAAAGAGAAATGCAATTTCCCTCACCCATTCAAGCTATCTTTGGGTCCTGAACCACTAATGTTCCTCCTACCCCAGTTTCCAACCTAGGCAAACAGGGCTCCACCTAACAAATGCAAAAGTTTACTAAATTTATAAATCTCAACCACCAAAGAACCACCTTCCTTTGAACACCTAGTGGAAATACGGCAGGAATGAAGTCTCACACCCACCGCAAAAAGTTGAGTAGACTTCACACGGATGGATGCTTGGACACGAATCAGTAAAATCAGCTTTAAACTCAACCTAAACACTTCTACCGGTAATGTGGCCAAATTGTTGCATGCTAGAGATTCAGTGGTCAATGGAACAACCTCAGTGTTCAGATTGTAGAGAGGAACCTGCTTTTAAAAAGCAAAACATGATCCTTACCATGTTCTGCAAGTGCAGTCAACACACACCTATCGGGCGCTACTGGGACGCTAAGGGAGGCGATGGGAATTCCGAGATTAACCAAAACAGTACCTTCCCTTTCAGGAAAAGCCTCAATTCAGGGAGGAAACAGAAAGTTAAAAGTCCCAGAACATCCTCTCATGTGGCAAGTGTTCAAGCAGCTGCGGTTAGCGCAGAGGGGTCCCCTGAGCCTGGCGAGCCTGGATGACAGCAAGCCGCCCACCAAGGTCTGGGGAAAAATCTCCTTCTAACTAAAAAAAAGACCCGAGTCTCGCCTGTCCGGCGCCGGGCTGGCAAGTTACTGAATAAACCCACCAAAGTCAGATCGCAATCTACGACTGCCTCTCCCAGGTCCTCAATCCCGGGAGCCTGCTCCCATCCTATGGATCGCCTACCCCAGACGCACCCATGTCTCCTTCCTCCGCCTCCGGGAGTTGGTCCCGTGCACCCCTGCCGCAGGTCCGCCCTCCTGGGAGCCCCCAGCTGCAGGGCTCGCTCCTCGGCCTGAGTCCTCTCGTGGGGCCCCCTCCCTTAGGGCGCCTGGCCCGCGCCCCGGGTCGCCGCCCCTCGTCCCTCAGCCCCTCCAGCGCCGCTACCTCGGATGTTCTTCATCAGCCCCGGCTCTTTGAAGCCACCGCGCCTGAGGAAGGAGCACACCTGCTCCGGGCCCCAAGTCTTGTGGTCGGGATGGAGTTCCGGGCCCAAGGACCGGTCTGCCTCTGCGGAAGGGGTGTTTGCGGGGGTTCTCGGGCTGTCATCGCAACGGGGCCGCTTGGAGGGCTGCTCAGAGTCGGCTTGCTGCATGTCTACACCCGGCGTCCGGCACAGCAAAGTCAAGAACCGCGGCGCCCAGCCCTCGCGCAGGCGCACTGACAGGAGGGACCTGGCGGGGAGTCCGGGGAGCATTGGCAACCTACTGGCCTCTCGCGCAGGCGCACTGACAGCAGGGCCCTAGCGGGGCGTCCAGGGAGCATTGGCTACCTACTGGCCTCCCGCGCAGGCGCACTGACAGCTGAGCCCTTCGTGCAGGGCAGCCCCGCGGCGCTAGCCCCAGGCCCCCTGCGCAGGCGCAATGGCAGTCCAGTCGCCCTCAATCCCTCCAGGCCGCTGGACGTGAACGCGGAAGGGCGTGGCTAGAAGCAGAACTGAAGGCAACGCTGGTGGAGGGCGGGGAAACAGCGCGTCCAGCACCCCACCCCCAATTAGGGGCTCGTCTGGTGAATTGGGGGTATCCTCCTTCGAATGAGTACACTACCTCCCGCACCTTAGCTGGGTTTCAGATACCCCAAACTTCAAAGAAACCTAAAAGGCCATCAGGCTGCCAGCACCTTCCCAGTGAAGAGAAAAACAGTCAAGGTGCTGAACTGGAAGACCCCGGAATGATTTCAGGTGTGACTTGAGGGTGTCTTCTTCATTCCACAGTATTGCTGGGCAACTAGAAGGCCCTGGGATACCTGTTGTCTGGTGTCCACACAGAAGGGGACTTCAGACTACTTTCCAACTGGAGACAGATCCCTCCATCCCAACTGCATTCCCAGAAGAAGGGAAGTGGCCAGTCTGATTACTTAAAATTTAGCTTCCGAGGACTTTTACTGCCTGGTCCTGAGAGCAGGTGAAAATGGCAGGCATTTTCCCGTCACTTAGCCCCTCTGCGGCAGGACTCAAAGTTCCCTATTAATACTGGTCCATGCAATTGACTGGTAAAAGGACCTGTCACTATTACTGCTAATAAAGCCAACACACCTTCCCAGCAACCAAGCAATAGACCTGTTTAGGGGGGTAAAGGTCGAATGAGGCGGATTAGCTTATCATCAAGCAGTATGAACTAGTGATCTACTGGTGAGCCAAAATATTGTTAGCAAACAGAGCTTTACTGTGTGCCAGGCACGGTTCTAGGGCTTTACAAATACTAAATAATTTTATATTTATACATATTACTTAATGAAATAAATTAAGAAATTATTTAAATAGTAAATCATTTTATAACTTCTAAGGGTTTTACAGATATTACTTCATTTAATTATCACAATTACCTTAGGATATAGGAAAAAGTAATTTGCCTAAGGTCTTTTTTTGAGACAGAGTCTTGCTCTGTCCCCCAGGCTGGAGTGCAGTGGCACAATCTTGGCTTACTGCAACCTCTGCCTCCTGGGTTCAAATATTCTCATGCCTCAGACTCCTGAGTAGCTGGGACTACAGGTGCATGCCACCAAATGTGGCTAATTTTTGCATTTTTAGTAGAGACAGTATTTCACCACGTTGGCCAGGCTAGTCTTAAACCCCTGACCTCAGGATATCCCCACACCTCAGCCTCCCAAAGTGCGGGGATTACACAGCCAAGCCCAGCTGCCCAAGGTCTTACAGCTAGGAAATGATGAAGCCTGTATTCAAACCCAGGAGATGTAACCTGGCTCCAAAGTCCATGCTGTTGCTAACTTGCCAGCCATTGCTTGTTAAAGGGGGTTTGGGACTGGGTGCAGTAGCTCATGCCTGTAATCCCAGCACTTTGGGAGGCCAAGGCAGGTGGATCACTTAAAGTCGGGAGTTTGAGACCAACTTGGCTGACATGGTGAAACCCTGTTTCTACTGAAATACAAAAATTAACTGGGTGTGGTGACACATGCCTATAATCCCAGCTACTCAGGAGGCTGAGGCACAAGAATCGCTCGAATGTGGGAAGTAGAAATTACAGTGAGAATCTTGCAGCTGCATGCCAGCCTGGGTGGCAGAGCAAGACTCTGTCTCAAAAAAATGAAGTGAAATAAATAAAGGGTGTTTGATATAAAACTATTTTCTATTGTTTAACCCACAATTTTCAATTGCTTCCTTTTCCTGCAGACCCATGGGGGAAAGTATAAAGAGGTGTTCTGGCCGGGCTCCGTGGTTCATGCCTGTAATCCCAGCACTTTGGGAGGCCAAGGTGGGTGGATCATCTGAGGTCAAGAGTTCAAGACCAGCCTAGCTAACATGGTGAAACCCTGTCTCTACTAAAAACACAAAAATTAGCTGGGCGTGGTGGCACATGCCTGTAATCCCAGCTACTCGGGAGGCTGAGGCAGGAGAACCACCTGAACCTGGGAAGCGGAGGTTGCAGTGAGTTGAGATCATGTTTGTTCAAAGCAATTGCTTTTAAGAACTTTTTTAAAAATTTCATTTTATGTAATTTTATTTATTTATTTCTACCCCAGCCCACATGAAGATGTTTTTATTCAATACAAACAATAACAGAGGCAACACACTGGCCACAAAATGAGAACATAAGTGCACTTGAATTTTTTGTGACTTCTGGCTAGGCTTTGACAAGACTATCATTCTTTTCTTACCAGGTAAACAGAATTCATCTGCTAATGCCAGAAACTTTAAAGCTCTTAATTCAGCTGGAAATAACTATAATTGAGGGCCTTTTTACTAGCTACTTGCTTCCCAATTTAGTGTTGTCTAGTAGGTTAATTTCAACATAACAAAAAGTGTCACCTGGCTGGCCACATCATGCACTTGTGACACGGGCAGGTTTAATGAGTTTTGTGCTCAGATTGCTGGGCCTCTTGGCTGCTCTTGTCCATCTCTGCACCTTGGTCCTGAGCGTTCTGAGACTCAGTCATCTGAGGATAAAAGGGACCTACCAGCCAGTTGAGGGGCGTGTTGTTAACAAAATAATCCATCATATCATCTAAAGATTCCTTCATTTTCTGTAGCTGCCCCTTTCTAAAAGTGAGGAGGCTGTCAGAAACCTCCTTAAAGGAGGCAGCATTGCGGAGCACTGAGTAGATGTCACCGGCCATCACCCCTATGTGCTTGGCCTGATCTTGGATGTTCTGTGGTAAGCCTTGGATGTTGGACAGGAGGGTGTGGCATGTGGTCTGGAGCTGCTGAGTCAGGTTGTGGGCAATAGCAAGAGTACATGACCCGATATGCTCAGCACAGTGGGACTCATCAGCATCATCATATCCAATGCTCCTTCTCCACTCCACCCATGAGAGGTAGAGTTTATCCTGAGCGTCCTGAATTTTCTGATGGGTATTATGCACATTCTTCCTGGCAGATTCAATCAGGTGAACAGTAGAATGGAGCTGAGAAATGGTCTCTTGGTTTTTTTGCTTAGCTTCTTTAGCCCTGCTGAGAGACTGCTGGTAGGTGCAGGAGCGAAGCTTGGTAGACAGGGATCCCAGTCTAACATAATAACTTGGCTTCTGAACCATATCAAATCCTTCAACTTTTTTTGCTTCTTTTTCTAGTTCTTCTTCAGTGAGAGGGAGGTACTGTTCTACCAACAGCTCTGATTTGGTAAGTGCATTTTCTACACCACTGCTCACGAGCTGCATCATCCAACTCCCCAAGACTGTGTTAATGCTGCCACTAACCACAGACTTGGTCTTCTCCACACTGCCAGTCACTGCCCCTTGGGTCTTGTCCATCACCCCTGTGATTGTGCTGGCCACGGAATCCTTGGCCCCAGTCACAGTAGTCATCATACCATCTTTTGGCCCAGTCACAGCACCTTTGGCATTGGCAACAACCTGAGTTGATGGCTGATTCAGATTAGGCAGTCGCTCCTCCATCCTGTCTAGCCCCTTACAGGCATAGGTATTGGCAATTGCAATTTGTGGCTCTAGCTTCTGGATGATGGGCAGAGCACTGGTCAGGGCCACAGAGGTGATGGTCTTCACGCCCTTCTCTGCCATCTCACACACAGACTTCAAGTAGGGATACTGGTCCTTTGTATTGACATAGGCCGAGGACATGAGGTCATATGTGGAGCTTACCAAGGGCAGGTTGACCACCTGAGTCACCACACTGGGTTGTGGATCAGCTGCAATGGATGCCATTTTTCTTTATGGAGAGAGAAATTATCGGACGGCAGCGAAGGGCGAAGAGTAGGTGTGTCCCAAAGGCGACTCCGGCAGCCACAACCCAGGCAAAACCAATTTATTTATTTTTTGGAGGTGGAGTCTCGCTCTGTCTCCCAGGCTGGAATGCAGTGGTACAATCTCAGCTCACTGTAACCTCTGCCTCCTGGGTTCAAGTGATTCTCCTGCCTTAGCCTCCCAAGTAGCTGAGATTACAGATGCATGCCACCATGCCCAGCTAATTTTTGTATTTTTAGTAGAGACAGGGTTTCACCATGTTGGCCAGGTTGGTCTCGAACTCCTGACCTCAGGTGATCCGCCCACCTCAGCCTCCCAAAGTGCTGAGATTACAGGCGTGACCCACCCATGCCTGGCCTAAGCCACCACGCCCAGCCAGCGAGTCTTATTCCAACATAAATTTGCTTGAGATCCCCTACGTTACAACAAAAGGGGAACTTACCATCCAACCATTAGAAGAGCTATGAAGAAGGAGTCACTACGGAAAGACCTTAGGTTTTTGATGAGAATATTCAGACATTTGATCAACCAACCAAAAAGTCCACCCTATCTTTGTACTTCTGAGGCAGGAAAACACAGTCTGAAGGCAGAAAACATAAGGCTGATTCACACTTCAGCTACGACAGGAAATATCAAATGCCAAGCAAATGGCTTTGTAAATTACTTCATCCTCTTCATTTACATAGGGCATACACCAAGTGACTAATGGAAACCCCTAGAGGATATTTAAACCCCCACACATTCTGTAATGGGGCCCTTAATCCCCTATGCTCGGGCCACTCCCACACTGTGGCGTGTACTTTCATTTTCAATAAATCTCTTCATTCCTTCCTCGCTTTGTTTGTGTGTGTTGTCCAATTCTTTGTTCAAGACGCCAAGAGCCTGGACACCCTCCACCGGTAACACTTCCAACTACATGAGCCAGTAAAATTTCCTTCATTTTGAAGCCAGTGTAAGTTGATTTTTCTCTTGTGTGCGTGTATATTGAATTTTTGGAGTTTTTTTCTCCTTTGTAACTGACAGCATCCCTGAAACACCTTGCAACTCCAACACCTGACACTCAGCTCCAGGCACCCAGTGTTATCCGGCTGGTTTTCCCCTTGTAGTGACATTTGTATGCAGTCCAGTTTACTCCAGTTCCTCATCATCTCACGT